TATACTAAAACTCATTGTTTGAAAAATCAAGCATACTGTTATTTATTACTTTTATGCAATATTCCATTATTTAATTGTTAACTATGGTATGTATATATATTAAGACAATTTATTTAAAACATATAGTAAATAGAAAAAAATTAATAAAAATCTCTAGATTTATACTGTAGATTGAATTCTAAATTTACTTAGTTGATTTCTCTGCTGGATATTAAGTGTAACACAGTATAACTACAGTTTTATATTGTATTCTTCGGAAGATGTCACAATAAATCATGTAAATAACTGTAGACAACCTCATAATAATATTATTATAAAAATATATTTCCTTGGAGATTCACATCAAACTTTAAATATTACTAGGATATGTCGTTGTCTGTGATTTATTTTTTCAGGACTTCGTGAATTATATTGTTTTGTTTAGGATAAGTGTGATTACATTCAACTTTGGCATCCTTTAATATTTTTTAGTCTTTGTACAAATTACAATAAAAATCCATATTATCATTTCAATGAGAAGTAAATGCGATTTTATGATTTTTCGACAAACAACGATAATAATACTCTATTTAAGGGCATGCGTTTGGTTTGATGATAAGTTAACGAAAATATAAAGTATTCACTTAAAATTTATAAATTAAAAATGATAAAAATTTCTCAGGGACGTAATTTTTACTTTATAGTTAAACAATAGGAGAAAATAGTTATATAAAAAATAGTTTTTATTAAAATATTGCATACGATAACTATCTCGATAGAAAAATCGTATGATATTTCCAAAAAAAAACTAATTTGTATAATATGCAAGTTAATTTTTCTTACGTAACTAATTATAATTTCTCCCCAATTAAAAAATATATCTATATCAGATAATATATAGTTTTCTTAACATTTATATTTATAAATTATTATATTTATTCACAACATTAAAAAATGTATTTATTTCAAATTTTTAAATCAAAATGTTTATATATATATGTAAATATTAGTATTTGATTATCATTAAATAATTATTAGAATAATAATAATTATTGATTAAAAACTGTTTATCCTTTATTATCATAACAGTTATTATTATAACATTTTTGCATCATGAAATGCCCGAATAAAATAATACCACTAAATGTAATTATAAATATAAATTATAATTTATTTCATTTCGTTTTGTTGAGCATAACAACAGAAGCTAACAACTGTGACAGGGATAAAATTTGCATACATATGAATGCAAATTTTAATTTAAAAAAATGATCTTTAAGTTATTAGTAGGTAATAAATTATTACTTAATTATCTATAATATATTCATATAATAATACACTCATTATGAGAATCGAAAATCGTGTAGACATTTTCAATAATGAAACACTAATTTTCTATAGCAGTGTTAAAATCTATATTGAAAAAATATAATATTTAACTGAGATTTCAAACTTTGAATTCCACGCGCATTTTGCTAAAAAAAAGAAAATAATGACATGCTGTGGTCCAAAGAAACTCAAGTTTTATCTCGTAAAATATCCGAACATAGTCATCTGCCATGCCAGATGTTTTTGCTCGAGTATGTATTTACGATACACATTATATATATTGTACTAACACCTGGTTCTTTATCCATAAAATTGGTTCCCAAAATAAAGTAAATCAAATAAAATCAAATTTGTTGGTTGAAAAATAAATTCTATACTGGTGGCAGCTAATCATTATTGTTTTAAAATCAAAATTGTATTTAAAACGTTTTGTTTGTAATATACATTTCTTCTGCTAACATATAATCCTTTAATTATATAAACGAAAATATAAACTCAGATGTATCATAACAATAAAAAATGTGCATCGTGTATGAAATTATATCCTAATTGTAATTAAAGTTAATTGTTATACATAAAAGATATAAAAAAAATATTTATTTTTAAAAAATTTAGTCTTAACAAAAGAATAATTTTAGTCTTCTAATTTTTCATGTTTTAACTGAAGACATGCTATGCAATAGCAAATTGTGTTAAAATAAAATAAATGTTTGTTACCTTTACAATCATTTTACTTAGAAAGGGAAAATTGTGTATTTTACTCTCTCATAAACCTTCTCCAATATCTTTTACAACTAGTAAAAAACCGTAAAACTAGGCAAATTGTCATATTTTTATGTTATTGATAGTCATCTGGAATTCGAAAATCACTTTAATAATGAACTTTCAATCCTATTAATTAAACTTGAAAATATATAATCGGTTAACGAAATTTGAATCACCTTACACAACTTTGGATGATTTAAATTTAATGTGTAGTCCTAATAAAAAAAAATGTTTTAATTACATCTGTGTTAAGGACACCTACTTTACTTATTCAATATTTGTAGTAAATTAATTATTTATCGCTATTTTAAATTAATTGTCTTTTTAAACGGTATGGTTAGTAGTACGCCCAATTTTTATTCAATTAGTATACTAAATGACAATATAAACTTATCAAATGAAAAAAGAATATTGAATAGCACATTTTTACATGGGGAGTAATTAAGATAACATCCTGTTGACTAAACCACAAACACTTAGAATTTAAAACATTATAAATAACAGTGAGTTTCAAGATAACACGCTAAAGTTCTTTATAGGAATTCAATACGTTTTGTAAATTTACAATATTTACCAATCGCTTAGGTACCATAAATTATCTTTACATTCATAGTGATAAGTGTATCCGTAAATTCATTTGTGTATGTAAAATAAAAGTAGTTTATCTTAACTTGATTTTTTGTAAACTTAATTTTTAGTAGCATAAATTAATAATTAAAAAATTTTTCATATTGCTTTCTTAATTTATAATTTAAGTTTGTTGAACTTAAAATCTTTGGCGAATAATCTGATTAAGATTAAATTTTTAATCTAAAAGTGAATGAAAAATTGATTTAAACATATTTTTAATAATTTCAGCATAAACGTTTAGTGAATTTTTATTTTGTGTCAATTAAATAAGCGCCTTATAAATGGGTCATAACATTTTGGTATTTTTGGACGTTAAGCTTTAAAATGTTTGTTTTTTAAACTGCTTTCTTACTGAACCTAACAATTTTAAAATAATGTTATTCGTGCTTTTAAACAAGCCCTCTACATAAAACTGGTACTAGTATCCATAGCATTTAAGGGTATTGAGTTCATGGGTATTGAGAACAAATTAGTGGCGGCTCTAGAGAAAATATTAGTCTTAATATTTAAGTTAAAACATGCAAATTTCTCTCATTAAAGACTTTTTTTTGCACATAAATTACAAAAAAAATCAGTATAGTGGAGTCGCGGTATAATTGGAAAAAGTATAAATGACATCTGACATTAATTAATATCACTATCATAAAAAACACTTCGATGCGAATGAGTTAAATTTCACTTTAATTCGTATATTTATAACTTTACAATTTACGTTTCAATATTTTACTCAAAATGTTAAAAACTCTTTAAATTATTTGTATTATCACACAATATGCCTTGAAATTTTCAAAAAAATGTTGCATTTCAAAAAATAAATACTTTAAAAAAAAATGTTTTATACTCCTTGAAACCTTTTCTGTACTTAAGTTTTTCGTTAATTTTTAAAAAAAAAGCTTATTGCCTCTAGTATTCTTTATTAAAATTACTTTAGAGTCATTGTTTTTATAAAAAAGTTTTAACAGTTTGANACTTTAAAAAAAAATGTTTTATACTCCTTGAAACCTTTTCTGTACTTAAGTTTTTCGTTAATTTTTAAAAAAAAGCTTATTGCCTCTAGTATTCTTTATTAAAATTACTTTAGAGTCATTGTTTTTATAAAAAAGTTTTAACAGTTTGAAAATACTGATATGTTTTTTTTTCAATTTTCTATGACTGTAGGTTCACATAGATTAAAATCGGTCCAGTAATAGTTGAGAATTTTTATAGACAGACATAAAAAATACACACTATCTTAAGACCATAACTTCTCAGCTTCGTATAAGAACTAATAATATAAGTTTAATTAATATCGAAATAAAATTTATTGATGTCTACGAGCTAAAATGTAAATGAATATGTAAATATTACATAAATTTTTATGTAATGTTCAAAGACTCCTTTTTTTGTTGAACTGTTGTAACCTGAGTCAACTATAAATTCTTGTTTGGGGGCTTCACCTCTAATTGTAACCTACTACGATGAGTTGTATTTTAATTTACAACAATCATATATGAAGTAAATACCTAATGAAGTATTAGTATTATAAATATGAAAAATATGTAAAAATCAATTATTGATAGCATCGCAAATGATGATCCAGTAACATAATTATAGTGTTGAGTCACTAGTGGAATTATAAAGCCCCGAGCAATATTTTTAGCAAGTCAGCAAACTTAAATGTTTCATTATTCTAAGAAATTTTTTTTTTTTATAAAAAATAAATTAATACAACATAAATTGATACAAATCATAAGAACAAAATGTTCCAGAAAAAAATGGGGCTTTACTTCGTTGCTTAGATTGCATAATTTCAGTTCCGAATCAATATAATTGTAGATATAATTTAATTACGAATATTAAAATGATTATTTTTTTAAAGACTATTTTTAAGAAATTTGTAATTAGTCAAAATTAGTTAGGATAAAAATCTTTTAAGGTTTTAATGTTGATAACGTTAATTCATCTGTGATCACAGATATAGATATTATAACTTTAGTTATAGTTTATTATCAATATCTGTGGCTGTGATGGATTTCGGCAAGTGACGTGATAACCGCACACAAGGTCGCCTAGTGCCAGTTTTCATTCGCAACCACTCCGTCTATACCAAACTCGATTCGCGGTAACCGTGATAAGCATATACTTGTGAAACGGCGATAGCAGCTGTCTACAAAGAGCAATGTATATAGTAATAAAACGGTCGTGTCAACCGGCGGCCGACCAACCAACCGATTCGTCACAACATTGCTGCCGCCGCCCCTCCAACATATACACAACAACAACAAAACAACGTCCATAACGGCGACCGAGGCACCCGCATGCCACCACTGCAGTCTGTGCGGAACTATCGTGCGGTTCGTGTATGTGCACTGTGTAAAAAGTCCGACTGTAACCGCCGCCGCTGCTGCTGTTAGTGATTAATGGTGTCGTTTTCATGCAAAAGAAGTATTTACTATTCAAAAAGGATTATCAGGATAATCAAAGGCATAAGGAGTTTGCCGTTGGCTGATAGGTTTGTTCCGATTTCACAACACATATGTTTTTACTGTTAATAATTTGGTAAAACTTAAAAGACGATATGCGGTAGGCAGTGTTTCGCACAAACGACTTGAACCATGTCTAATCTTTTCGACAGCCTCCTCTGACGCTTTCGCTTAAATACGTAACACGGTCAATCGATTTGATAGGCAGCGAAAAAGGTCGACAAGACTCGATTCAACACGATTCTTAAAAAATATCGAGATTAAACTGGTGTGACGTTGCACGTGGGAGAATTTTGAATTATACAACCCCTACAAATACAAATACAAGGGCTTGATGTTACGGGTTCCTTGCCCAATATGATAAGTTCTAAGCAATAATCGAGGGTTTTCGCAAACGTGTAATATTTACGGTTTATTCGGATTCAAGTGATTAACGATGCAGTTTAACTAGTATTTCACGTTCGCATTGCCACTTTATTTTAAGTAAACTTAACATATTATTGTAAGTCTGTAGAAAACATTTGATATAAATTATGTATACGGCGTAATCGTTCATTATCAGCCGGTTCTAGTGACGTGCCCGTCTAAGGTTAATTAATCTTTTGAGATTATTAGTACTACTATTATTAATCTTTCTTTGATATTAAACATGTTGGATAAACACACAATAAACAAATGGCGGGAAAAATGCATCGTCCTATTTTCGTAGATCGTTCCTAGTTACTAAAAATTTTACAGATCATAATAATTCTAACGGAAACAGTGTTATCTTCATCGAGTTGCGCGATTGTTCTTACTTCCTACACAATCAACATAGTAAATCGTGATAACCCTTAAGCGATACGAATGGAATAAATCTGAAAGGTGGATGTTATCATTTAAAATAACGCTTATTTTCGTTGTTTTTATATAAATATTAATGAGTTCAGTGTTATTATTTCAATAGAAAAAAGAAATCGAAACCTTCATTAATTTATCGCAACCGTATCGCCAAAAAGAAAAGTGTTAAGGTTTATTATACTATCTTTTCTGGAATCGCTATTTTTCCAATGTTTATCGATTACCTATTTTTTTTTTTTCTTGACGTTAAAATACTGTTGATAGCTTTCACGTGAGATACTCTTGAATACTATCAGGTAACCAACAAATGAACATAGCATTATTTTGAACATAACTGAATGTTTTATTTATATTGGTTATTTAGAACAACCTATCGATAAATTATTACTACAATATATGTGACATTTATATTATTTGGGCCTTCCCAAATTATTGATAGTTGTAGTTTATAAGCGTGTTGTTCGTTTCACGAGGATGTAATAATTTGAAAGTATCAATAATATTTTACCGTGTTGCATGGACGACCAGCGGACAGCGCATCACAATGCATCGATGTATTTTGATGAGTAATATACTAATAAATTTATAGTTAATGGCTCGAGACGAATAACTACACATTGAAATGCCGCTTCGGTACTTGGTTATTTTAATAAAAAGAACGGACGTTGATTTTTATTCGTGTTGTTTACAAAGTGTAGAGAATAAACATGATTTTATTTTAACTGATCGATTTGTGTTTAGAATCGCTAAACATTGCAACAACTTAAAGTGTGGCGAGGGATGTAGTTATAAAATGTAATTTACTATTTTTTATTATTGACTATTGAACAAAAATAAACTCATAGTCTTATCGTTTCATTCATAACTCTTATGTATTGTAATAAAAATACAATTTTTATTGAAAGCGACTCGGTCGATGGTTATAAACTTCTATACAGTCTTGTGTCTGACGCATATATTTTTGACCCGACCCTCATTTTATACCTTCGTTTTATTTACGGATTGAAAAAGTACAAGCTCAAAAAAATATGTTAACATCCCGTCTCAACGTCGCTAAACGTTTTTTTAATTCACACTTTAGTTCAACGTAACTTTTCCTATGAATTTATTGTAAACCGGAAACGCTTTCCACGAACATATAAATCATTATTATTCGCAAACTATTTGTTGTACTCTATTTTTTGTTAAACGCATACTTCGAATTTATTATTATTATTTTGTGTGTTATGTATTTCAGCCAAAATCTATTACGTCTTACAATCATTTAGGATAAATACACATACCTGAGCACAAATTACTACTCTATGTTTCTTACATCTGTGTCTTAACAACGGTTAACCTTTTGTAAGAATTAAATTCCCTTTAGGTCTAAGTATCCAAAAAGACGCTCCCTCTTGGTTGAGGTTTTGTCCTGTTTTACAGTTGATATTTTTCTTCAATATCAATACCAAAATATCATGTTGTGCAATAATTTAAGGTTGTACCGTTTGGAACTCCTTGGTCAAATCTGTATAGAATTACCTGTTTTCTTTCTTCGTTTATGTTACAGCCTCTAACAATTGTATTTAGAATCTCTTTTAGTGTTCAGATCAACAAAATTGATTCATCGTGTCACTTATTGTTGTTGGCCGTTTTTATTCTCTGTTCGCTTGTAAAACGAAACCACTTAAAAAATTCGATATGGGTAGGTGAATAATAAAAAAAAAGTTATTATGATCTAAATTTACGGTTTATTAATTACTTGTGAAAAATATGATCAAGTTATTAAATCAGATGACAATGATGACATTTTCCCCTTTGTCATATTTTTATACAAAAAATTTCAAGTTATTATAGTTTTCACTATTTTCTGATTTGACAATCATATATATTAGTTTATTCATTTCGAAACTTTGATTTTATCCTGTATGATAGCTTTATGATAAAAAATTGTAATCTTTTTTTTTTTTTTTACTTAATTTAGTTAAAACAATATTTAATTTGTCCATACATATTTTCAAAGTCAACATCATTATTTATTTTAAAAAAATTAATTTTATAAAATTTATAATTCTCCTAAATTCAGTGTCTGCTAGAAACCCTACTTAGTCACTAGTGTATAATCAAATTATTATTAGTTTTTTTTTCTGCTCTTATAGAATTGTTTTAAAAAAAAAATTGAATTTTCTTATTAAAATAGCGTTGAATATTTAGAAATAGAAAATGTATTAAATTTGTTTTTGCCCCTCTCCTACTTTTAGTTTATTCTTATTTGTGTATTTACTGATTCAATCAATAAACCACATTTCAGTAAGTTTTTCATCCTTTCGCTGTTTTCGTGTTATCCATTAAATTAATATCATATGAGTTTTAATATGCCTATTGCGTGTTTTGTGAAATATTCATGAGATCATTAATGTGATAATAATATAGAGAGTTGTACAATAAATAGAATAATTATAACTGTCGTTATCTCTAGGGTTTTGATGTATGATTGTATCTATGTGACTTTTTTAGCTAATTTTCAACATTATCTGCCAAATAATATTATGTACACATGAATATAAATAAATAACGGTTTTGTGATATATTATACTAAAGGGAGGTATAAAACAACGAATAAATCGAATTAAATTACCTGTTCAGGACATATTAGAGCGGATTTAAGTTTCGGAAAGTTTAATGAGTGGCTTACATAATGTTTTACTGTTGTTAATTTTCAATATCGCACAAGCTTAGCGACGTATTGTTTAATTTAAATAATATAACTTAATATTATTTAACTACTAACGAGTGAATCGTGTTGAAAGTTTTTCCTTTTAGATCTTTTTTTTTTGTTTTTATGGATATATTTAAAATTCTCAGGATAACTTATAATTGAAACAAAATATTACATTATAGCAAAATAGGGTTCACGTGTGTTAAACAACTAAATAATACAAAGTCTGTATTTAATAAATAGCATCTGACACAAAAAGCTATTTTATTAAAATCTGTTTGTGTATTTCTCTGAATCCCGTTCTTTCATACATAAATTTCTCATTGCTATTGTTATGTCTTCACGTCTTTCCCGTTGGTTGTCGTTGTAAAAGTAAATTAATTCTAAGTTATAAATCGTAACGTACTACATTTTTAATTATAGTACTTCCGAAGGACACTTCTGAATCGTAGTATAATAATTGATCATTTCCTCTTGTTAATATTATGTAGATGGCTTAGTGTGTTAAACGTATTAAGTTAATAGAAGTCAAGTTTATCAAATTTCGTTGAAAATAACATAAGTGTAGCCGTGTAATTTATTTTACGTTGAAGTATATATTATTTACTATATAACTGTAAACTTTTTGAAAGGTAACAAAATTACTCAATTGATATTTTTTTATTCCAATAAATATAACTAAACTCTACAAAACTTATAAATCAACTGAAGAAATATTCCTAGAGTATTTATAACGTTAAAAATAGGTTTAACTGTCTGACACGAGAATAGATGTAATGGACAAATTCTTTAACTAGTTATTTTTTTTCCGTAAAAGAATAACCTTACTTAATTTTCCGATTTTTTTATCTGAGCGCTGATAGGAAAATTTCTGATATACATTTTACAAAATTTCTCATGTGAACTAACATTTTCCTCTCTATCCTCCATAAATGACCGGCAATTAGCCGAACCAATAGGAAGTAGTTTCAATCTTAAATTTAAATCATTTGAAAAACTATACAAAATTATGAAGGAAAATATTATTTACTTTCAATAAATATAGTGCGACTACTGAGTAAATTAGGAAATGACGTGAATTGACCCTGAACTGTTTAATGATTGTTTAAAACTATTTTATCAAATTGTAAAATTACCATATTTTTAAATGTCTATATTATTATATAGATTTTTTTTTTGATATTTAATTAATTAGTTTTAGTATTTATTTTATCATATTAAATGAAATATAACCTATATTTGATGTACAATATTTTTGAATTTTTCATGAAAAACAAAAATTTCCTTATTTTTGTTTGTATCCTTTAAAACTCAATTCAACCTAATATATATAAAATCTTAATCAAATATATTTTTTTTCTCAAATTTATTCATAGTATAAATAACTGAATAACTTTTTTAACGTAATAAAATTATATAAATTATATAAAAGCTTTTATATTTTTTACGTTACAAGAGTTACGAAAAAGAAATTGTAAATTTTCTTTAGTT